GGTTTGGTATTATTCATTGAGCAAAACAAATCATAAAAGTTTAACAGCTCAGGAAAGAAATCCACCCCCAAACCTAGTACTAATATTAGTACCTTAGCTCAACCACAACAAAACAAGTTGAGGCTACGACATCGTAGCTACCCTCACCTGATCCCTTTCTAAAATAAAGGAATATTATACAGTGTACTTACACAAGTCAGAACATGTAATCCAACAAAAATATTATTGAAATGCACTTCAATACAGCCAGGCCACGTAATCTATAAGCACAATCTTCATTTGCACAGCTGAGCTGATTATATCAAAGGTTGTTTTTTAATTTAAAAAAAAAAATCATTAGCACATGCACGAGCAAATAGAGCTTAGCTTATTGACTGAAGGAAAGTAAAACATTGACCATATGTTGGATAGCAACCTACCATTTTAATATGGGGGTGAGTAGGTATGCTCTTGTTAAACAACAATTCTCAGCTCTTAAATAGCTTTATAAAAATAACGTTAGTGCTGTCAGAACTATATCTGATACAGTCTGACCACGAGATATGTTTGTCTTCTGAGTCGTTCTCTTCAAAAATAAATCACACTTGAATGCTATTCCTGACAAATGGAATAATCATGTTTTCCGTTTTATATCTGGAGTAAAAAGTCCATCTTTAAATAAACGTTGCTGCTGATCAAAAACTTTATTTAAGTTTGCGTCAACATTCTCATTCAATGTAGTGGTGTGTAACAATATAGCTTCTGCAGCACGTCTCGTATATGTACTTAAGACAATTGGGTTCTCTGCTGCACATTACCTATGCAAATTAGATAAATCGACTCTTCCAAAACAGTGGCTTGACATAAAAAGAGCAAACCAGTTGGAAAGTTATCACACAAATATTGTAGGGGTTACTGTCGTGATTCAATGCATGTATTTTCTGTTAATATAGCTGTGTATTTATTTATAGTCTGCATTTTTTTGCGTGCAAGATATACATTCAAGATTGCATCTTTAGAACTGCCCAGTTTTATGCAAATTTGAAACGCTTGATAATGGAATACTACCGTTTTATATCTTCAAATTCCATGTGCATATTTTCTTTAAACAAGCCAACATTATACATTGAATCATTCCAGTTCTAAGTATCATCGTTGCATTGTGACAGTCTATTTGAATACATATTTATCACATATTAATCACCATAAAGGTACAAATGCGTAACAGTGTATAAGTGTTATGTAGCAGGAAGTTGATTCTCTCTCTCTCTCTCTCTCTCTCTCTCTCTCTCTCTCTCTCTCTCTCTCTCTCTCTCTCTCTCTCTCTCTCTCTCTGTGAGATTACAGAGCCTGATAGTAATTTCCAGTAATCATCTTCATCATTGTCACATTTTTTCTCATTTCATTTCCGTGTCCTATTCCATTGACCCCTATGAATTGAGCTGCTTAAGGGTTGCAAAACGCCATTCAAACATTGAAAAGTAAAAAATAAACTAAATATATTCCAGGCTTAAACAGTTTAGTTAGATTATGGCAAAATGTTATCCCGACGAGGATTCAAACTTGGGACCTTTTTGACTAAAATCTATAATCAATGGCCGGCGATTTAGTCTATTCTAACAATATTTATCCAATAATGTCAGAAAGTTTGCCTGTAGCTTTCGTTGGGCTGGTTCTTGCCGGATATATCCGGGTTCATCACCACCATTCATATTGACAGCCATATATGACCAATTCGTTGGTAAGAATGACTATAAACCCCAACCACCACATCCCCTGCAATAATAACACATTCTTGAAATAATGTGCGATGGAACGTGAATATTTTTTACAAGTAATTGTATACATGAATTATTTAATACTAATGTTTTTCTAAATTAGTTTATCTATTATCCAGTTTACACAACCGCGGGCTTAAATAGTGTATCTGCTTGTAATTCATCAAGTTTTCCTCAAAAAGACTAATAATGCAGCATGGTCATGATACTCTAAATGTTTTATACGACTATTTTTAAATGTTTCATGGCTACATATCCAACACGAAACGAGATCGGCGCACGGATGGTCGGACATGACACAATCAATACACACCTCCACTTAATATTTGAGTATATAAATTGAAAAGGACTGACTTTTTGTTGACTCCTAAGTGCCCACCAGTCTCAACGCAACGTACACTGTAAAATTTTCTCTACTTCATCAATCCTAAGTACCTGTAGAGAACAAAAATATAGAATGTCATCATTTAAATTGAAATCAATTTACTTTCTTCTGAAATTTCTCTTCTTGCCTTTCGATTTAATAATGGATTTTGAATATACTTTGTGTACGACAAAGTTCCTAACTTTGTTGACACCTCTTGGCCCCGTCCCATCGTATACGGCTGTTAGGACTTAGAAATGACACCCTGGTTTTCCGAAAGATGTGTTTTGGTGTGGGTTTTCTCTGTCCTATCTGTAAGTGTTATATTTTTGTGTGTTTTGAAAATAATAAATAGTTTTGTCAGGGTTGCTCTCTGTTTTGTTGATCAGAATCTTGAGTTTCATTATCCCTAGATAGGCTTGGTGAGGTTATACTCCCTTCCCTTTACCTGGGCTGGCAGTGGGCCTGGTTTATATCTTCCCTTACCTGGAACTAAGGATAGAACTGCATCCCCCACTCCCTATCACTTGGGACTATTAATATGTCCTGGCTGGCAAAGACAACAACTGACTGGGATCCAAGGAAAGGAAAACAACCCTAGGAAAATGTTCCTAACAGCATGATATTCTGTGGGACCCATATAAAAAATGAGGTCGCGCAATGCGTGCGTCTCCATTTTTTAGTTAAATTTTTATTTAAGTTACCAAAGAGTCAGCCTTTATACGATGTTTCAGACTTCTAAATAAAAGACGCTGCCATAAACGACGTTTCATACTTCTGAAGGAAATCAGCTGTAGAATTTGATAAATTCTAACTAGATAGTGAGGCTAGAAATCTAACTTCTCTACCCGTCGTTACAGTACTTTAGTTCCTTGTTTAGTGTACTTTCTTTAACTAAAAAAAAATTACATCTCTCCCCACTCCGAGTGGGTCACTTTTCTATGGATGGGGTCGTTTTTCCACGAGTCGGAAAGATCGTTATTTTCCGCAGGAAAAAAAAAAAGACAGGTCATTTTCCTACGGGGTTCATTTTGTCCACGTTACATCAGCATAGACCCAACTGTTTTAGAAGTGAGATATATAGATGACTAAAAAAAATGACTATATAGGTATGTAATTACTGTATCTTGATTTTACAACAGTAGATAAATGATTTTGACATGTTTAGTTTATACATTTGTATCAAGATATCAATTTTAAAAGAAAGAAACGATAACAGTAACTTGTGTATAATATATTGAAATTTATAAGTTATTGAAAGACAAAAACCTGCAAATTTAAGAGAGTGCTATGATATTGATTTGGACTGTAAGAGAAGCATGGCCCAATCAATAATTCATATCCTGAAGATAATAGGACATTGAAATGAATTTAGATTAAACATTATGATTGTTTCCTTAGCTTGACTTCATAATGGAAAAAAACCTAATTAATAGCCGAGTTCGATAGTTCAACAACAGAAAAAGCCGCGAGTGGCGTGCTATCTCGCGGTTCGGTCAATAAAACCTTATTAAATTGCGTTGTGATGCTGGGAACAAAGTATTTGATAATCAAGGAAATTAATTTGAGAGTTCGTAATGTGAATGACCGCTTACTTAGAAAAAAATACTGACCACACACTCACACTCTATTCCCCCCTAAACTTGATATAAAGTTAAAGTTGTCCTTGAGTAGCACGCAAGAAACACGCGTGACTTTTTAGATGCATTAGACAGACCTCTTTTGACCTTGAATGAGAATACTCATGATCAAGCAGCTTCCAGAATATAAAAAAGGCTTTGAGCTGCTTTGGTCTCAGTGCGATTTCAGGATCAGTGTCGTGTCTATTTCTTATAGATTCTTGGTACCTTCTCGTAGCCAAAGCTTCCCCACAAAAAAAATGAAACTGTATTTACACCATCATAAGTGACACCTTATTCTTAAGAATGCTGAACTTTCTTCCTTCTCGTAACTAGGCACGAGAAGAAGGTTATGATGGAAAACGTCTCAACAACAACAAGAGACTTTTTTCACATCATAATATTTGTTTTAAACAATTTTATTTTATTATATCTCGAATGAAATATATTGTTGATACTCAGGTCTTTTTTGCTTCCTTTGAGAATTTTTTTCTTTCAATTTTATCTATCTTTTTTCTCCTATTTTCTACAAATTATCATCGTAAGAGGTTGACCGCTGGGTAGAGTAACAACATCCCAAGGTGACCTTACAATTAAAACATTTCTGGTTATCACTTAAATCTAGGGACAATAAATATAAACTGGCCCTCGGTCTTTCTTTTTTTTTTAACTTAGCAGTATATATTTCAATGTTCTAATGTGCCTCAACTATTTACTTGAAAACATAAATGGAAGCATTTTGCATATCGAATCTGCAAGTGTAAATATAATATTTAGCCAAAAATAAGCACTGGATTACACAAAATGCCAAATTGTTCACTTCCTAAACATATTTTCGTTTTGGCCAATTGTATAATATTTGGACAACAAGGATGCATAAAGTTTAGCAAAAGTGTACAAAAACTTTGAATAGCATAGAATAGATGTTGAATACTGAAAGAGCATTTATTGTCATCTAAAATGTTAATTCTTTTCAAAAGTTATTAGTAAAATTATTTTAAGAATTTAAAATTACTTTACCTACTAATGAAAGGTGTCTTTGACTCCAGCTTGCCAGTATTCTTTTTGCCTTTACTAGTCTTTCCTATATTTAAATTCCACCATTTGTTGTACGTCTAGAGAAAAATCGATGTCAAGGTATGTAAAGTTTGAAGAAGACCAGTTCCATATCGGGAAACATTTTTTTCATTGTAAATTTCCTGTTTCCAATCCAAACAGCATTTGTATTTGTTATGTTACATTTAAGTCCAAATAACAAGAGACTGCGCTGGTGGTCCAGTGGTTATAGCGTCCACCTAGGATGCAGGAGGTCGTGGGTTCAATACCCGCCAGAGTCATACCAAATGCTTACAACAAAGGTACTAACAGCTGTCCTTTTTGATCTGACATTTCTAAGTGAAAAAAAAAGAGACACATCTCTAATAATTTTCATACACAAGTACAACTATAAAGCCTGCATCACTTTATAACTGGCGCCATTTTAGTTAAAAGAACAGACTGGTTCACTAACCAGCTGGATTATCAATAAAACGAATCTGCGAGGCAAAGTTCCAAAATAAAGAAACCTATTTTCTTGAAAATGGGTCTGATACAGCTGCTATAAATAGAAAATTGGGAAAGTACACGTAGATCTACAATGAACAAATTAGATATTCTTATGCAGCAGTCTTTCTTTTAGTTTTTTGGAATTAAGGAGATGACAACATAAATGACAAAAACATCTTTTTACTACTTTATTTTAATTTCATATTTTAATTTACCAGAAAATTATAATCCATATACAGATAAATTTATGGCATAAATTGGGTTTTAAAAAGTGCAATTATTATCCAAATGTGTAATGGTTGGCATGAATGAATATTCAGTCTATTTTTATGTGTAATGTTTTTGTCAAGTCTTGCAATCTTACATTCTAGAACAGACCCCAATATCCTGATATACTGGATACTCAATCATACAAGAAAATGAATAATTTGGAAATCATTCAATGAACTGTACAAACCAATTTAACTGGTTTACATGCTTGTGACTACCCAGATATGGTACAAGGAAAACTTTTCAGGCATGTCAGCTATGGAATGGATTAACCTAAAGTGCCAATGTAATGCATGTGAAAATAATTATTGCTGGAAAAGTATAAAACTGAACAACCAGGTTTACAAATTTGCAGGACACAGGATTGTCTGAATTAATTTGTTCTGTATCCAACAAGTATTAGCATCATCTTACAATTAATTGTGTTGTTGTTGTTGTTGTTGCTGTAAGTTTTCATGCCATATTTCAGCACATAATAGGCTATACATAGCAGTCAGTGTAACTGGTGGAGGAAGAACATGGTGAAAACTCCAGGAAGAACCACCGACCCACAAGAAGCTACTGGCAAGGTTTCTCTCATATCCACGTTAACCAAGCCTGAGACTTAAACCCACGCAGACAGAGGTGAGATGGCAGTAATCCAGAATGGTGAGCACTTTAGACCACTTTGAATCCAATTAAATGTGTCTAAATCTCCATAAAATTTGCAATGCATGACAATTTTATTTTTCTCCATGCACTGGAGTCTTATAATATATGATTACAAAGGTCACCATCTCATAATGAAAGATAACAATAATATAGGTAGCCTCATATGAATCCCTTGCAGGTTCTGACACTACTGGCTGAAAAGAATTTCCAGAAACTATAAAAAAGATCATTTTTTAATTGTAACTGCTGTGTGTTTAAACCATCACTTTTATTCTTCAGCAATAACAAGCCTTTACTGCTGTGATGGACATATTGGATGTTAGAACAGCACCATTCTGATGTACATATTGGATGTCAGATAGGCACTGCTGTGGTGGGCATACCGGGCATCATACTGACACTGCTGTTATGGACATACTGGACGTCTGATTGGCACTACTGTGGTGGGCATACTGAGTATTAGATTTGGCAACAGTAATGACAAGATATTCAAAATAGCTGCCATGGTAGCCATGTTGGATATCAAATTGACACCATTTCATTTCAGAACCTACTTGACATCCTAATAATTTTATTTGTGAAAACTTAAACTGTTGATGATAACACTGCAATCTCAAGAACAGCTTTACATAGGGTTTTGCTAGCATTTTTTCATATGCATCTATTTCCTAAACCCCTTACTAAATGGATTCCCTAATACTTTGGATAAATTGTTATGAAGCAAATGTCTGACAGATCAATGTCCAAATTAAACTAGAACCACTTTACAAAGATCCTTTTGATAACAATGTTATTGGTTGTTACACTAAACACAAACTTGTAGATAGGGAATATTTTAATTGGTTCAAATTGTTTGAATCAAAAGAAAATATCACAAACATCAATGCCAGGCAGGAAGCAAACCTTCATTTTGGTACCATATTTAGTACCCTGCCTTGTTTCATTTGAAATAGTTATTATTTAAAACAAAAAACATCTGACATATAATGAACCAGCTGACGATCTCTAAACACATACATTTGTATGCTAGTAACATTACAGACTAGAATGTAGAATCATGTATACAAAATCTCATGTTCATGGCTGTATAAACCTGACTAAACTGTATATGGAATAAAATCTTAGCTAGTTGGAATTTCAAAAATGACTGGCACATTCAGATACAAGGCAGAAGGCAGTTGTCCTTTAAAAAAAAAAACAGTCATTACAAGTTTGCTTTTGCATTAAAAGAAATACAGTTAGGTCTAAGAAATATTTAAAACATGAATTAAATGAATGCACATGTAGGCATAACACAAAAGGTGACCTTATATATAGTATGTCAAGATTTCTTTTTACTTTTCTTAAATCCATCTTTATCTCTAATTCTCTTAATCAGTCCCCTCGTGTGATTGAATGTTCATGTGGACTCTGGCAAATTTTCATAGGGTATATGCTCCTCGATTCCAACTCCAAAAAATGTTCATTGGAAGGAAGTGAACTATAGCTGTTAGCGCGATGAAGAATTGGAGTTCCATATTCTTTAGACATAGACAATGACCTGCTGAATGAACTCTGACTTGAATCAGCACTCTCTGGCACAACAAATGAACTTTCAGCACTAGATATTACAGGGCTTTCAGTTCCCATTTCACCAAATGTATTTATGGAAGCAGCAGAACTCTGCCAAGACATTTGACGAGGAACAGATGGAATTATTTTTTGATTATCATTAAGTTCAAATGAGTCATCTGCAATTTCAATAACTTCATCAGATTGGATATCAGCTTTAGTCTCTGCCTCACCAATTTCATCCAAAATCACAACAGATGATCCACTGTCATGACTGCTATTATCTTCAAAACTGTCCATATTTCTCAAAATCAGCCAGACATGTTTTTTTTTTGCTTTTAAAAATAGCTAGTGTAGGAATATATCTCTAACTTAGGACATGTCCAACCTGGCTGAAATAAAAAAGGGATTCAGGAATTTCAAAATTTGGATATTATCGGTCTGCACTGTAATAGACTAATATTGTCAGTATATATAAGAACCCTCATTTTCTCTGGGTCAAACATAACCCTAGGTTTAAAATATTAAAGATTGATCCATGACAATATCTTTTTTTAAGGGGTGGACTTGGGGTCCATATATGGCTTTAAGAGTTAATCTCCTTACATGATTTGTTATGGTTCCCATATATTTAGCCTTCATTTGTCAAAAGGGTCTCTAAGTGGGGATTTAATTGGTTCTTTTTTATTGAATATACAACAAAAGAAATCTTTTAATGAAAGCATCTATAAGATGGCTTCTTGACTTTTCAAGATGGCTTGTTGTTGTTGTGGTAATATTTGCTTTTTCAGCACATGATAGGCTATACATGACAGCCAGAATAACTGGAGGAGGATGAACCCCAGAAAGAACCACTGACACACTGAAGTTACTGGCATGTGTATATTTGGATTTGCAATGTAGCTTTAACCATTAGAGTCATATTGCTATTATGTCTGCAGTGTGGCAGTTCATAGTAATATCTAACACTGGGGCATCATGCCACAGACATGTTGTATCATGCCCCACCCAAACACATTATCCTGACACTAGGCCAACCAGTCCTAACAATAACCTCTTATTGCTGAGCGTCAAGCAAGGGAGCTGCTAGTACCAGCATTAAGTATGACTTGGTCAGGGTTCTAACCTGCAGCCTCCCACATCTGATGCAGATGCTCTAACCACTTAGGCCACTGGAGTAGTCAGCTACTTACATGCTTTCTCATACCGATATTGTCTGAGCCTTAGATTTCAACCAACATGGACAGAGGTGAGATGGCATTGATTGGTAAAGACAATTGTTTTAGTCCACTTACCTACCCAGTGTCTACCTGTTGGATAGATATTGAAGCAGCCATATTGGTTGTCAGATAGGCACTATTTTCATGTGTGACCAAGCTGACTTCATAAGAATTTTTTCAGTGAAAGACCATCCTGCGCAGAGGAGTAGAGATAACAACAATGAAGATTATCATGATGGCAGCTATATTATATATGCCAGCATTACCATTTTGAACAAAACCTCATGTCAATACAATGTTTGGTTCATTTAGTTTGTGATAAAATATTTTAAAGAAGGCTGCTCTGGTGGCCAAATTGGACACCAGACTGGTACCATTTTCTTTCAGGATTAACACCAGAAGAAATCTTGTGGTGAAAATCACATGTTGATATGACCATCCAACCAAAGTACTGATAAAAAAATTTACAAGTTGGCCACTGTAATGGCCATACTGGATGTCAGATCTGTAGCAATTGTATAATGGACCAACTATACATGATAAAAAATTCTTTAGGTGAAAACCACATGTCAATATGACTTTCTGATCAGGACTGGTAGAAACAAGATTTTCAAGATGGTGGCCATAATGGACATTAGAAAACCCCAAGTTGATATGACCATCCATTCAGAAAGAGTAATAATAGCAAAGCTTTTAAAGATAGCCACTGTAAACTGTGGTGTCCAAACTGAAATGTCCAATGGCACCATTTTCCCATAAGCTATCCTTGTTTTTGGAAAGCTGAGCTAAATGCACGAGAAAATACTAAGGTTTATGAGTTATTTATTCATTTGGTCTTTTCATTCCATAAACAGACCATGATCATCTGACACTCAGTTACCTATGTTTTTTACACATTTCAAAATATCAGAAACTTATTTTTCAAAAAATTACAATACAAAGAAATGATGAATGCATGAAATTTTACAAGATACTCAATTTTTTTTTTATACTCAAGTGTGAAATTTTGAGATTTTTTGATAAATAATTTTCATTTTTTTCTCATTCTTATATTTTAAGATGTGAAAAATATGTGAAAAAATAACATTTCTGATCAATCT